TTTGGTTTAGAACTATATACAGAGATCTGTGGCCTCCTAACACCAGGTTTTCACGGCCACAGTCCTTACATACTACAGCTTACTACGACTATTCACTAATGCTACTCTAAATGACTATTCCTTAATCCCTAATACTATTTACATAACTCTTTCGTATTGTTCTCGTGCCTTCTACCCCAGTGGTAGTTCTAAATTCCTAATTTTGACCTGTCTTTTACATCTTACTTTGTACAGAAATTTCCCTACATCCCTGACCTCCGTGTCATTCGTAGTGCTGAAAATTTTCTTGAAGGCCAACTCTTCGCCAACGGTGAACCACTTGTTCCTCAGGAGCTGTTCCCTCCACCTCCCGGTTTCCGTACACTTTAATAGTATGTGAATCTCGCTTTCTGTCGCCCCACATAAAGGGCATATTTTCCCATCCATGCCCCCCCTTATCCCTCTCAGCTTCCAAATACCCGCTCTGAACCATGCCCATCCCTCCCTCTCCACCCTTGCTGTACAAGGGTGGCACACAATATAAAAACAAATGTTATCACAGAGATTTGCCAGTATATCATGACAGTGTCATCCAGTCATTTGAAGACGTGATACCTCGGGCAAAACTTAACACACACACACACATATGTGTGTATATATATATATATATTTGGAATTACGTATTCCGTCAGACCTGAGAAATTCATTTCTCTGAAGTTGCCTGTACAGGGATGTCCTCGGATATCCTATCGCCTTTGAGTTCATATATAATCCTGTTGTGCCGCACGCTGCATTTATTCGGATGTTGACTTCCCCACAGTTCACCGTCGGAAGTTGACACAAACAGTTGAGGTTTGGTTTAACCGCGCTTAATTTGAAGGCTGGGGAACCGTTGACTTGCCCCAGTGAACAAAGTTCAGTTGGAAGCAAGAGTAACTGTGGTACAGCGCCACAGAGCTGTGTAGCGTTACCTGTAACTAACAGTACACACCACATAGGTCTATTTAAGACTTGTTCTGAGCAGAAAAACTGTTCGTCTGACATGGGGTTTTCGTTGCTACAGAGATACCACGTTCAAATACTACTACCGCCTTCCTTATCATCATTCATGACATTCATTAATAAATCAATAGACCTGCAAAATACCTGGCTTAATTTTGCTTAGGTTTTCCACATTTCACTGTTTACAGTGTAACAAAATTATAAATATTCCATCGCTCTTATAATTGTAGATTCAACATTTGTTTATATTTAAATTATTTTTAAGTTACTGGTTTTAATCTGTTTTTATAAAGTTTCTCTACTTAATCTATTATTACAGTAGATTTTATGTTTTTTAAGTTTTAGTGGATATTTAACTTTTCGCTATATAAGATTTTCTGTGATAACCAGTATCTTGGTAACTATGTTACTGAATTTCATTATTGATTTGTCGATCACTCAATACTGTACATTAAAATTGTAATTCGTAATTTAAAGAATGGTTAATATTATGTATAATTTGTTTAGGCCTTCTATAGTGCGTTTCGTGAAGACTGTGTCTAACTTGGGCCTAATATGGAGTCTAATGAAAGTACTCTGATTCAGTGTTCTACGAATAATTCAGAAAAGTGTACCAACCTTCGAAAACTCTATATATTTTACTACATCATGTATAACTTCTGCTGTTTCAAAGCTAGGTAGGTACCAGATAGCTACGTCTGAAATTAGACCTATCGACAGGAGTAGTTATCGGCTGCAATGCAGAGAGCACTTGGCAGACAGTGCAGATACAGACAGTCCATTAATAGGTAAATGTATACTATGTACCATGTTTACAAACACAAGACTGATTGCTTCCAGATACGACACACATTGGTCATAATTGGAGATAAGATGTAACAAACAATACTGCAAACACAATTTTGTAATATTAAAATATTTAAATATTTAAAAATAACCGTCAATCACAATAAAATTAAAAGATTAAAA